GAAATCTCTACTGCGTGACTCAGTAAGGTCAAGTAGCCTGTCAGCAAAGCTAATTATTTTCATCTATGCTCCTCTAAGATGACGCCATCTGTGTACCTTTTATTGGCCAGAATTTTAAGAAGAAGTTGTCCCGGTGGTACAGGGTAAGTCAGGACCCGAAAAATATCCGTTACGGTGCAAGATTGGCTTGATAGGTGGAGAAATAATTAAGAAAATATTTTTGCACGAATTTCCATTTATTTTCTCCCTATTTTAATGCCATAAATGATGAAAGGACATGAAAGTGACAAGTGTACGGTTAGATGAGAAAAAGAAGACATTACGTGTACGGCTAGATGGAAGACACGTGTACGGTCGGATGCAAGACACGTGTGCGGTCGGATTAAAGACATGTGGCTTGATGATGTAAGCATGATGTCATCATGATGAGGTAAGCATGATGTCATAGGACACTTGTCACCGTAAGATCAAAAGAGAAAATGGACGGTCCAGATCGAGCCACGTATTTTTGAGATCAACGGTCCAGATTCAGTCTGTTTTTCTATAAATACCCCCTCCCCTCCCTACCATTTTGTCCAAGCATGAGGAATCCATGGGGAAGCTCTTGCAAAATGGTTTCTAGAGAGAGAAAGAAGAGGGAGAAAGAAAGGCCAAGTGGTTCCAAGCCAGATCAAGCTCTAAAACAAGGTATGTGGTGGTTATCGCACCTGATTTTATGCCTATTTCGGATTAGTTACTGTATGTATCTGATTCTGAAATTTTGCATGCTTAAAGTACACTCTATGAGCTTTAAATCCATAGGTAGAACACTTCATTTGGATATGTGTACGATTTATAGTGATTTTTCAAAGTTAGGGTTTGAAATATGGAAACAGTGTTGAACTTTTGGAAGAGTTTCGAGTTCCGTACAATTCCGGTGCTGTTCAGTGTAGAATTGGTTCCTGAAACTATTTTTCCCTTAAATTTAAATTAAGGAGCTTTCAGTGAGACTTGGAAGCACTCAATTTGGATTTTTATAGAATTAATTATGAATTTTCAAAGTTGAGCAAAAATTCTGGAAATTCTGCATGAACAGTACCCGCGAAGCATAATTTCCAGATTTGGTATTCTTGAATCTAAGGCCATCTAAAGTGGTCCTAATTGACAAGAAATGGATCTTAAGGATGGGAAATGATAAGATTTATGTTAGAAAAGTTGGAAAGAAAACCCTAAGACTAAGAGAAAGGGTTGAGGTTCAAGAAAGCTAGTCTTGAACTTTATGTAATCTAGTGGTCCTAATGGATGGTATGATCATTATGGTTATGTTTAGGACCTTTGGAACATCCAAGAGGATGTTTGGTGATGTTGACCGAATGTCCACATGGTTGGAAAGACAAGGGAATCAAAGGAAAAGCAAGGGGAAAGCCATGTTACAAGGTAGTGAACTTACCTATACTGTGTGCTTGATATGTATGCTTGCATGATGTGATTGTGTTGCCATGATGTGACTAAGCTATGATGAAATGTTTGCAAAGTTATGTTTGCAAGTTTATGTTATGTTCTGCCTTGGCAATATGTTATGGAAGCATGAAATGCTTTAGCTTACTTTCCATGGCATTCATGTGTTAATGTTATAACATGTCATGCATGTGCATTATGTCTTGCATGCTTATGGGTAGTGTTTGCTACTGAGATTCCCCCGAATCTCACCCCTCCCTAACCAACCATTTAGGTCAATCAATGATGGGCAATAATGGCATGAGAAGCAAGGAGAAGTAAGCGGAGAATTATTCTTGTTAATGGATGAGACTGTTGATGAATGTATAGTTCTCCTATTTTGTGAACTATGTTATGGATGCCAATGATGCCATGTATTTAATTATAATGTTTATGGCATGAATGAAAGTGTATGAGCATGAACGGGAAAGAGTAAGGCCATGTTATGTGTGCCAAAGAAATAAAAAGAATTAAAGAGATGTTAAGGGATAAAACGTAAGTCTTGGAGCAGTGAGTTTGTAGCTCCAGTTTGACCTATCAAACGAGTGAGTTAGGTCATAATATTTGGCAAGCAAAGAGACCTGATGCTTTTCTTTAAAATGAGGGGTATTTTGCCCGATTCCGATAACCTTTGCCCTTGCTTGAACTCCCTCCTAGGTCTTAAAAATTTACACTAGGGTACATTAATTGTTCATTAGGTCTCCGGGACAATTTCTTTGCCTTTGCCCTTGCTTGAACTCCCTCCTAGGTGGTGTTAAACATAAGAGTGAGATTTCAAAGAAATCCCAGTAGCACAGAATCACAATTTTCATGCATTCCTGCAAACACTACGTGCAATGCTTTTGTGCAGATATCTTGTTCATATGTTCATGCTTTTATGCCATGGAAAGTAAGCTATCATACACATATTCAATGGACATAATGCCAAGGCAACATAATTCAAACATTGCAATCAACATTTGCAATAAAGCTTAGTCACATCACGGCATACATTGCACACATTCACATTAACACATCAATGTAAGCAAGAAAACAATCAAAGTGTAATTCAATGCTACCTTTTGATACTTGGTCCTTGATTTCCTTTAAGTTCAAGATGTTTTCTTGAGGATTTGGCAAGGTACCTATCAAACCAACACCAAGGCCAATCATTCAACAATTATTCAAACACATTCCCTATTACTTAAACATTAAACCCTTCTTTCTTGGGATTGTTGGCCTAATTGTTTTCCTTTTGATTCAAGAAACCTCCTTAGCCATCCCTACATGGTTTTTCATGTAGAATTCAAATATCTAATCAAATTTTACAAAATCAAATTCCTTCCTTAAGTTCTGGTCAAAACAGAAACGAATTTCATAAGGAAAAATGTCAAAATTTCCAACTTTGATTTTTAATGCTTTCAAATTCAATTCCTCCATATAACCCTACACAAAAACGCCCAAGGAGTTCAATGGAAGCATCAAAACTTTCAAAATCCAATCATAAGTCCATATATTCAAGATGGCTGAACACTTCCTCTTAGGTTCATAAATTTTCATATTTGATTCCAATGAATTTGAACATACTTCCTTAGCATAATCCTACATACCATCACATTTTAAGTCCATTGGAACCATTAAAACTCATTGAAACAATTCCTACCCTTGAGTTCTTGAGTTGGCTGAACTGAAAAGTCATAGTTCATAGGGTAATTTCTTCCATAACCCATTCAAAACGCACCAAACATCAACAACACAACTCATACTCAATTTGCTATCCTTTCCTAGCACTTCCAACACAACAGAATTGAAACAGCACTTCCCCCTCAAATAAGTCACGGTTTGACCATGGAAAAAGCATCAAATTAAAGCCTAAACATACCTCAAAGAGTCTTGGATTAAAGCTTGATGATTAACCTTGGATTGGAGGTGCTTTGAGGAGTGTTTGGAAGCCAAGAAGAAAATTGTGCAGAACCTCCCCTCTATTGTCCCATTTCTGTCCGAATTTTGAATGCCTTGTGGGGGTATTTATAGAGCTCATTTTCTGCCCAAAAACCTGCCCTTGGGCAGCTATTTCTGCCCCAAATTAAGTGATAAGGTCGGCCAAAATGAAGAACCAATCCTAGCCACACATTCTTTGACTCACTTTCCAAGAGAGTTGATCCAATGGTTGAAAATTTGCCCAGCACACAAGCCAGCTGTTCTGATCATGGTGAGCACGAATTTGGGCCTTGTTGGATGCTAACTAAATGTTAAAAACTGGTTAGGAAGTAATGGAATTAGTTAGGGTAATTTAAAAATTCATTCGGTCACATAATACCCGATTTCTTGCCCTCTACTAGGAAAAACAGCTAAGGGCTTCAAAAATTCTATTTCTTTTCATGATAATTCCCTATTTATTCCAAGAGTATGATCTGGAAGTTTTGGGAATTTTTCAAGATCTCTAGATATTTATTTCACATTTTCTCCGAAATCGGGTCTTTACCGATAGGAATTCGGAAGTAAATTCCCCATAAATTATTTTCTGCATTTTCAATGCTTGGAAACAATTTTATAAATTCATAAATATTCCTAGGGAGTGTATCCATTTTTTCCTTGAATTTTTGGAGTCCTTAGGTAATTAAAATAATTATATCACTTTAATTCCCCTTTATTTTTCCCTATTTTCCCAAAAATAATTAATTTTTTGGGAATTTTCACCAAAATTTATTTTGGGCCATTCTCACTCCCAAAACATCATAGGTGACTCAAAAACCTCTAATTCCACCTTTTCTATTTTTAGGGAATTTTTGAGAACTTTTCTCAAAATTACCATTTTGCCCTTAGGGATCCGATAAAGTCAGTTTCGTCCCATTTTGGGTTTCCATGCTTTACTCATACCTTATGCTTATCAATCATATCTCATTTCTCACATTCCCATTACTAGGGTTTCAAATTTTGGGATGTTACATTTCCCTCCCCCTTAAAATAAATTTCGTCCTCGAAATTTAAAATGTACCTTATTCAAAGAGTTCGGGATAATTATCTTTCATGTCGTCTTCCTTCTCCCAAGTTGTTTCTTCTTGTGCCAGATTCTCCCATATGACTTTAATCATTGGGATGGATTTCTGCCGCAGTTGCTTTACTTGACGATCAATGATCTTTACTGGTTTGATCTCCCAGGTTAGGTCATCTCGCAGTGCAATATCTTTATATTCCAAAACATGAGAGGGATCTGGCTGATACTTCTTTAGTTGGGATACATGGAAGACATCATGTATCTGACTAAGATTCGGGGGTAGGGCTACTTTATATGCCACCGATCCTACTTTCGACAGAATCTGGAAAGGTCCGATGTATTTTGGTGACAATTTCTTTGATTTCAAAGACCTTCCTACTCCCGTTGTCGGAGACACTTTCAAGAACACATGGTCTCCTATATCGAAGGTCAAAGGCTTTCACCGAATGTTTGCATAACTTTTCTGTCTGCTTTGGGCCGTGAGCAGTTTCTATCTAATCATCCTTATCCTTTCAGTTGTTTGCTCGACTAGGTCTGGCCCATATAGCTATCGCTCCCCTAATTCTGTCCAACATAGTGGGGATCTGCACTTGCGACCATACAAAGCTTCATACGGAGCCATCTGCATATTGGAGTGATAACTGTTATTGTAAGCAAATTCTGCTAACGGCAGATAGTCATCCCATTTACCTTTGAAATCCAATACATAGGCTCTCAACATATCTTCCAGTATCTGTATGGTTCGCTCTGTCTGACCGTCTGTCTGTGAGTGATATGCTGTACTGAAGCTTAGCTTGGTGCCCATTGCTTGCTGCAGTGCCTTCCAGAATCGGGATAGAAACCGAGGATCTCGATCAGATACAATCGACTCTGGCACTCCATGTAATCTCACAATTTCTCTTATATATAACTTGGCAAGTTTTTCTGGTTGGTAATCTTTCTTTATTGCCAGAAAATGGGCAGACTTCGTTAATCGGTCAATAATCACCCATATCGCGTCATATCCAGATGAGGTACGGGGTAACCCCATGATGAAATCCATGGAGATACTATCCCATTTCCATTCCGGAATATTTAGAGGATGTAAAAGCCCTGACGGTCTCTGATGCTCTGTTTTGACCTTCTGGCAAGTAAGGCATTTAGATACATACTCTGTTATATCCTTCTTCATGCCAGGCCACCAAAACATACGTCGGAGGTCCTGGTACATCTTCGTCATTCCCGGATGTATCGTATATTTGCTCTTATGTGCCTCCTCCAATAGCTGTTGCCTGATGGACTCCGGAACATATACCCGTTCCTTATACTTCAATATTCCATCTGGTGACACCTCGATCGCTTCATCCTCAGCTTTTGTTAGCTTAATCCGAAGTGTATCAGCTATCGGATCGCTCTTCTGGGCCTCTTTGATTTGCTCTATCAGTTGGGCTTCTGCTCTTGTCACTTCTACTTTCTGGGTCATTAGTTTCATATGGAACAAAGGTTCCCAATCCCTCACATCTTTGATGAGTTTTCGTTCCTGAATCATTAGGAATGCTACTTGTACTACCTTTCTGCTTAAGGCGTCAGCTACCACATTAGCCTTGCCTGGATGGTATTTTATCTGGTAATCATAATCCTTGAGCAACTCCATCCATCGTCGTTGCCTCATGTTTAGTTCTTTTTGATCCTGCAGGTACTTGAGACTTTTATGATCACAATATAGTTCAAGGGTTGCCCCATATAGATAATGCCTCCAGATTTTTAAGGCATAAACTATTGCAGCTAATTCTAGGTCGTGAGTGGGATAATTCTCTTCATGAGACTTTAACTGTCGTGAGGCGTAGGCGACTACTCGTCCTTGCTGCATTAATACACACCCCAATCCTTGCTTGCTAGCATCGGTATATACAACATACAGTAGGGTTGGATCGGGAATTATCAGCACAGGGGTTGAGGTCAACCTTCGTTTCAGCTCTTGGAAGCTAGCCTCACATTTATCATCCCACACGAATTGCTGGTTCTTATGTGTAAGTTTAGTCAGGGGCTGTGCAATTCTTGAAAAATCCTTAATAAATCTTCTATAGTAACCTGCCAATCCCAGAAAGCTTCGTATTTCTGTTACTGTTTTTGGTTGCTCCCAGTTCAAAACTGCTTCCACCTTACTGGGATCTACTGCTACTCCATCTTGGGTAATCACATGACCCAAGAACTTTACTTCATTCAGCCAAAACTCACACTTGCTGAGTTTGGCATATAGCCGTTTCTCCTTCAGAATACTTAAAATGATCCGTAAATGCTGTTCGTGCTCTGCTGGTGACTTGGAATATACTAAGATTGTAGGGAATTGAAAGACGACGCGCAGCGGAAAAACTTAAAAATTTTAAAACTTTCAATCCCTTGCCCGGATCTACCGATCGCGTTTAAGTCAGGTAGTAAGAAGCATTACCTTCGGTGTTCGATTTCCTGGTGACTCAATGATTCGGCCGTTCAGGATGCTTCTGCTCGCCTCCTTTGTCGTTCGAAGTCGACAACTCCGATCGGCTTCCTCTACCGGTATCCACACGAGTAGCCCTCAACCTCGAACGGCGTGCTAGCGTCTATGTTCGTCTAGGGTTTTGAAAATCCGTCCTCTCTCCTCACTTTTGGCCGTCCCTTATCTCCTTAGTGCTTTCACTCTCACTCTTAAAACCCTAGCTCCCTAATATCAAATATATAGGATGCTATAGGTATTATGAGTGATATTTTAATTTCGAAATTAATCCCACATTAATTCCGAAATTAATACAATATCAAATATTGCATAATTAGATAAGAGAACAATTAAATAAATACGGTTTATATTAAATCCGTCTCACAGATTTAATTCACCTATTTATCTAATTCAAAAATAAAGATATGATGGAATTAATTTACATAGATCTAATTTATCCTTATAAATTAAATTTAACAATTAATATCTCTTATATTTATATATAATATATATATACGAATATATATATATCCATGTCCACCCTATTTATTCATTGAATCTGGACATATCCTAGATTCAATGAATCTGGACATCACAACTCGTGTTGGGCTATTTTGTGTGCGACCCTGTAGGCCCATATGAAGTTGGCAGTGGGCCATTAACTATAACGACTCACAAGTCGTAAGCGGTCTCTAGCAAGACATCACGACTACCCAAAACATATGAGGATCATTGAACGATGCAACCTTTCATACAACCATATCGCGTCCCTTTTGTCACACGACATTTTGGTCATGGATGAGGCATGGAGAATGTCATCCTCCTATTCATGACCGTTACTTTCTCGATCCCTGAGTAGTCTGAGTATAGAAATGGAACTACCTTTCCATTATAGTATGGCCATACATTTCTCAGACTCACTCATCGAGGGGCCCAGTAATGTCTCTCTACGAATGTGAGGGACAAATTCCATCTTGACCATTCACATTCCTCCGCATGAAAAACCACTAAGCCTGAACATAGTCTTTATGATCACTCGGTCAAAAGTGACTTTTGACTAGGTCAAAGCTAAGCGTTTCTCATGTAGGAATCCATGATGATCTCAGGTCAAAGGGCACAGTGACATGGTTTGTATATGAGAGAAGCTTATGACTTAACCCATGCAGCTCTCTCATAGCGGGTCGGTCCAACACCTTGTACTCTTACATGTGCCTATGACTTTAATTTATATCTCTATATATCCTTAAAGTCATACTGGTCTTATTTCATCTTTGCTCCCACATAGATGACCGACCAAGGACATTTAGGATAAACCATGAGTTATCCAAGGATAGTCATCACAGTAAACATGCAAATAATATGATAACGTAATTAATAAATTCATAAATTAACAATGTTCAAAACATAATGATTGGCCCCTAGGGCACAATTTCCAACAAAGATATCATCAATGAAAACCACCACAAACTGATCTAGATATGGCCGAAAGATCCTGTTCATGTAATCCATGAAAATCGCAGGGGCATTTGTTAGTCCGAAGGGCATTACCAAGAACTCATAGTGCCAATACCGTGTTTGAAAAGTGGTCTTCGGAATGTCCTCTGCTTTAATCCTCAGTTGGTAGTAACCTGATCTCAAGTCAATCTTGGAGAACACTGTGGCACCAACTAATTGGTCTAGCAAATCATCTATTCTAGGTAGTGGGTACTTGTTTTTAATCGTCACTTTGTTGAGCTCCCGGTAATCAATGCATAACCTTAGGCTACCGTCCTTCTTACGGACGAATAAGACGGGTGCTCCCTATGGTGACACACTGGGCCGGATAAAATTCTTTTCTAATAGTTCCTCTAATTGCTTCTTTAACTCTGCCATTTCATTTGGAGCCATACGATATGGGGCTTTGGAAATTGGCCCTGCCCTAAGTACTAGGTCAATTGCAAACTCTACCTCTCGCTCCGGAGGTAACCCGCTAATTTCTATCGGAAAGACTTTCGGAAAATCACATACCACGGGTATCTCTGTTATGCCTTCTTCCACTTCTGCATGTACAGAGAAGAATACCACGTACCCCTGACAGCCATGTCTTAGGCAATTCTTGGCTTGGGCTCCCGTAATCAAGTTCAGTTTCACCTCGGTACGAGGGGTTAGCTCATGAGGAGGAAAAATCAAAGTCCTATTCTTACAGTCAAGGAGTATATTATGGGTAGACAGCCAATTCAGACCAAGTATCACATCAATCTCATGAAAAGGCATACATATTAGGTCAAGTGTAGTGCAACAGTGGCCATACCGGACAATACAATTTAGGCAAACATCAGACGTATAAACTTTAGTGCCCGTAGGAGTAGCCACACATAGATCATATAATAATGTGTTAACAGCAAGGCCTATGCGCTTCGCGCATTCATATGAAACAAAGGAGTGGCTAGCACCCGAGTCAAAGATAGCATACACAAAGTAATTATTAACTTGAATCATACCTTGTATCATCTCAGGTGACTTATCAGCCTCTTCCCTTGTGAGGGCAAAGACCCTCCCTTGAGCTTGGGGCCTTGAGCCATCCACATTAAGGGGGCACTCCCTTATATAGTGTCCTGGCTTGCCACATCGGAAGCACACATTTTGACCCATCAAACATGGTCGATCTCCGTGGTTTTTACCACAGATGCTACATTCCTTGGTCTGGCGCGTAGTGCTGCTTCCTCCTTGCCTTACTCCTCCTCCTCGTTTAAACTTCTTAGAAAACATAGGCTTTCGCCTCTTTCTATTTCCTCCAGAAGAAGTCCTCTCTGGTCCGCCCCTTGTTGCTAGTCCCTCTGGTCTAGGAGCGGCCCTGACTACTGCCTGGTGGTTCAGGCTACTTTCAGTAATCCGGCAAGCTTCCACTGCCTGATTAAACTTCTCAAGTTGCCGTGGGGCTACCTTCTCCCTCAGCTCCTGCCTTAGTCCCCTTATCATTTTCTCTGTTTTCCACCGCTCATCATTGCGGAGTTGGAGGTAGTTAGAGTAACGAGAGAGCCTCATGTACCTGTCTAGGTACTCATCAAAGGACTCTCGGGGACCTTGCTGAATCATCAGAAATTCCACCTCCTTTTTGTCTCTTACTGACAGTGGGAAGTATTTCAAATTAAAGTGTTCCTTGAACACTTCCCAGGTAATAGGGGTTGCATTCTCCTGGAGGATCATCTCGGTGTTCTTCCACCAGCGATCAGCTTCACCCTCCAGTTTGTAGATAGCCATCTGAGCTTTTCTCTCAGAAGAACATTCAAGCACATTAAAAATCTTCTCTAGCCGAGTAATCCAGTCCTCAGCCACTTGGACATTCAATGTCCCTGTGAAACTCGGGGGATTCTGTGCACTGAATCGTTTGATCCACTGTCTTAGTGAATCAGGATCCCCTACAGGTCGTACCTGCTCAGCTGCCGGCTCTTGAGGTTGAGCTGGTTGTGGTGCCTCGGCCACACTTAGCCCGGCCTGTTGCAGCTGTGCTATCGCTGCTGTCACTGCGGCTGCTATGGCAGCATCGCGTTCCTGGTTTTGGCGGGCTTAGGCTGCCTGAATTTCTTGCATCACTTTCTGCTGTTCCTCCAGTCGGTCCATAACCAATTGAATCGGGTCAATAGGAGGTTCCCTTGCTGCCTCCCTTGGTTGTGTTTCTCTTCGGGTTCTCACCATTTTACTTAACTTTTTACTACAAGAGGAACAGAGGAATAAGATTATTACTTAGTTATCAAAATATTTTATACTAAGCTATGCTTCATATTTGTACATAGATAGGTTTCAGGTATAATCATCCAAAACATAGATCATCCAAGTCACATATACAGTCATCCACTCAAGACAGGGGAGAGAAAGGAAAATAAGAAGTAACAAAAAGCTCAAATTCATCTAGGATCTGATCAAAGCTTCCATAGGCGTCTTGCTTGGAATGGTCACTAATCAACTGGATCTGATCCTGCCAAACAGGGGTCCTTGGCAAAGTGTTGACTAAGGCCTGTCCCCACATCTCCTCATCTATCTCTCCCTTGTCCTGGTTAGTGACATCACTATGTAACAGTCGTACGTAGTAAAAATAGTCCATGTAAATGTACCCATACTGGTTCTGGGAGATGTCAATCTGCCTCCCCAGCTTACAGAGCTCCTTAAAAATAGCCTGATAGGTGTGCAGCTCCTTTGTGACTAACCGTCGCCTCTTCTTCGGAGGCAGGTCCTTCTCTAATATCTGATCACGGCGCACTACTCTGATAGGCTGTGGCTTCGTCCCACTAGGGCCGGCTTTGTCCGGGTTAAGTTTAGGCCCCGTAGCACTCCCAGCTTCATCATCCTCTAACCTTTTACTACCGTTGGAGTCTACCATGGGAATTATATCCTCTACCTCCCAGAGAGGCTGATAATATCCAGGTGGTGGAGTCGGGTCATCAGGGTCAGAAACATGTGGGTGGTACCAGTCCGGGTACGGTTCCCCTGGCCCTCTCTGATCAACTGTACCCCCAGGAGAATCGGGCTCACAACAAGCCATATCCTGCATCAAGGTTAGTCCAATGTACACCTTTCACGACATAACACATCACACACAATCAAATATGCATTATGCTAATGCATTACCATATCGAACAGTACATCTAAAAGATAGTCCAGAACCTTTGCTCTGATACCAAAAATGTCACACCTTCATTTTAAACCCCATTATATGTCCTTTAGAACCATTTGGAATCGTTACACGATGTTCAAAGTAGGTAAAAACCAAGATTTAAAATTTTGATTTCGGTTACTATTCATGTAACCCCTAAAAATCGGGTCAACTTTGAAAAATTATAACTAATTGTAGAAAAATCAAAACAAAGTGGTTCCAAATCTCACGTGAAGCTTATGAAATGCTCTACATAGGAAAAATATCCACAGGTGTTTATTTCTTACAGATCAATACCAATTTCCACGCAATTATGTACTGTTCATTTGGTAAATTCTGAAATTTCCAGTATTTTTATCCAACTTCGAAAGGGCATAACTCTTTCTACAAAATTCCAAATTTAATGATCTACCACTTGATTTAAAGCTAAAAATGTGATCTATTAGTCTGCCAAATTTCAAATCCAGATTAGAATATTTTCTGTTTATTTCGTATGCACCAAGCTTGGTCCTTTTTAGTCAAAGGTTATCCCCTAATTACCTTTGTAATGACTCTTTCATAACCTTTTACCCATCCTTAATTATTTGAGGCTTAATAAAAGCTTGAACATACATTCTACTATGCTTTCACATGTTTAAACATAGACATACATGCTTGGCTCCTCTTAGGAGCTATTATCCAACAAACATTTCCAAAGTCATAATATTACATAACAAGTTCCAAAAATTTACACTAGGGTACATTAATTGTTCATTAGGTCTCCGGGACAATTTCTTTGCCTTTGCCCTTGCTTGAACTCCCTCCTAGGTGGTGTTAAACATAAGAGTGAGATTTCAAAGAAATCCCAGTAGCACAGAATCACAATTTCATGCATTCCTGCAAACACTACGTGCAATGCTTTTGTGCAGATATCTTGTTCATATGTTCATGCTTTTATGCCATGGAAAGTAAGCTATCATACACATATTCAATGGACATAATGCCAAGGCAACATAATTCAAACATTGCAATCAACATTTGCAATAAAGCTTAGTCACATCACGGCATACATTGCACACATTCACATTAACACATCAATGTAAGCAAGAAAACAATCAAAGTGTAATTCAATGCTACCTTTTGATACTTGGTCCTTGATTTCCTTTAAGTTCAAGATGTTTTCTTGAGGATTTGGCAAGGTACCTATCAAACCAACACCAAGGCCAATCATTCAACAATTATTCAAACACATTCCCTATTACTTAAACATTAAACCCTTCTTTCTTGGGATTGTTGGCCTAATTGTTTCCTTTTGATTCAAGAAACCTCCTTAGCCATCCCTACATGGTTTTTCATGTAGAATTCAAATATCAAATCAAATTTTACAAAATCAAATCCCTTCCTTAAGTTCTGGTCAAAACAGAAACGAATTTCATAAGGAAAATGTCAAAATTTCCAACTTTGATTTTTAATGCTTTCAAATTCAATTCCTCCATATAACCCTACACAAAAACGCCCAAGGAGTTCAATGGAAGCATCAAAACTTTCAAAATCCAATCATAAGTCCATATATTCAAGATGGCTGAACACTTCCTCTTAGGTTCATAAATTTTCATATTTGATTCCAATGAATTTGAACATACTTCCTTAGCATAATCCTACATACCATCACATTTTAAGTCCATTGGAACCATTAAAACTCATTGAAACAATTCCTACCCTTGAGTTCTTGAGTTGGCTGAACTGAAAAGTCATAGTTCATAGGGTAATTTCTTCCATAACCCATTCAAAACGCACCAAACATCAACAACACAACTCATACTCAATTTGCTATCCTTTCCTAGCACTTCCAACAACAGAATTGAAACAGCACTTCCCCCTCAAATAAGTCACGGTTTGACCATGGAAAAAGCATCAAATTAAAGCCTAAACATACCTCAAAGAGTCTTGGATTAAAGCTTGATGATTAACCTTGGATTGGAGGTGCTTTGAGGAGTGTTTGGAAGCAAGAAGAAAATTGTGCAGAACCTCCCCTCTATTGTCCCATTTCTGTCCGAATTTTGAATGCCTTGTGGGGGTATTTATAGAGCTCATTTTCTGCCCAAAAACCTGCCCTTGGGCAGCTATTTCTGCCCCAAATTAAGTGATGGTCGGCCAAAATGAAGAACCAATCCTAGCCACACATTCTTTGACTCACTTTCCAAGAGAGTTGATCCAATGGTTGAAAATTTGCCCAGCACACAAGCCAGCTGTTCTGATCATGGTGAGCACGAATTTGGGCCTTGTTGGATGCTAACTAAATGTTAAAAACTGGTTAGGAAGTAATGGAATTAGTTAGGGTAATTTAAAAATTCATTCGGTCACATAATACCCGATTTCTTGCCCTCTACTAGGAAAAACAGCTAAGGGCTTCAAAAATTCTATTTCTTTTCATGATAATTCCCTATTTATTCCAAGAGTATGATCTGGAAGTTTTGGGAATTTTTCAAGATCTCTAGATATTTATTTCACATTTTCTCCGAAATCGGGTCTTTACCGATAGGAATTCGGAAGTAAATTCCCCATAAATTATTTTCTGCATTTTCAATGCTTGGAAACAATTTTATAAATTCATAAATATTCCTAGGGAGTGTATCCATTTTTTTCCTTGAATTTTTGGAGTCCTTAGGTAATTAAAATAATTATATCACTTTAATTCCCCTTTATTTTTCCCTATTTTCCCAAAAATAATTAATTTTTTGGGAATTTTCACCAAAATTTATTTTGGGCCATTCTCACTCCCAAAACATCATAGGTGACTCAAAAACCTCTAATTCCACCTTTTCTATTTTTAGGGAATTTTTGAGAACTTTTCTCAAAATTACCATTTTGCCCTTAGGGATCCGATAAAGTCAGTTTCGTCCCATTTTGGGTTTCCATGCTTTACTCATACCTTATGCTTATCAATCATATCTCATTTCTCACATTCCCATTACTAGGGTTTCAAATTTTGGGATGTTACAATTCTAAATGCTTCCGCAAGGAATTTAATTGATTTAAACAGAAGGTGTTACAGTGCACATGAAAGGCCATCAATCAGGGAGTCAGAACTTTCATTAGCACTACACATCAATATCATCTACTTTAACACCAGAAGAAATAGGAGTCATGCAATCAACATGTTCATTAACATCCTGACATTGATTTCCTAAATTTAGGCTCAAAGAAGGTTCACTACTCTCAACATATTCATGCTTGTCATACTGTCCAACACACAAGTGACTTGAAACATTTTCATTCAAAGCTTGACAAGAACAAGAAACATCTTCATGCTCAAGAGGATTAGGTTCAGTTACATCATGCTCTAAAGTATTTTCATTAACATCAATAACACAAGGAATATCATCAACAATAGTTTCACAAGAAAAAGGAATAGAAACAGAAGTAACCTTAAGAGATAGGGTTTGCTCTTCCTCTTCAATTTCTTGGAGTGTTGGCATGACATGCAGCCGGTTTTGCTTCAACCTCTTAAATCTGTGCCTTCTTCTCCTCATTTTAAAGCCAAATAGCTTGATCCTTCTTGACTGCTTAGGAATTTCTTCCTTAGCTACTTCAGTCTCAGGCTTCTCACAATCAGTAGCAGTAATTAGAGCACTATGATTACCCACATTGTCAATTTGTGATGTAACATGTGTATCACTTCCCGGGTGTATTTCAATTCCAAAATCTTCACAAAAGCTATCACAACATTGCAGCGATGGACTATCAAAGTCTCTACTTTGAGGTGCTGGACTACTCATTTCTTATCCTAAAGTACCTTTGGATTCTTGAGAGGATGTCTCACTTTCTGATTTAGTTACAGTTGTAACAGTAGCTTGAATTCCTTGCTTATCATCCAAATATTGAGCTTTAAACCATGGTTCACCCTCTTCACCATTTGATTTCTCCCAAAATATATGCATTATGAGTCTGTTTGACAATTCAGCAATTTCATTCAGCTCTTCTAATTTCTCTTTTAATTTCCCACACTTCATAGCATCATTGAGTAATCTTTCATGTCTCACCTCCAATTGATTACTTGCTTCCTTCAAAGCATGTACGCGATCACCATGGTTTTGAATTGAAAGAAGAGTTTCAATTCCACTGGTGTGAAGCTCACAAATTGGT